TCTCTCTCTCTCTCTCTCTCTCTCTCTCTCTCTCTCGGCCCATAACTTTCATATAAATATAATTGACTCAATAGTTATAACTGATATAATTGGACACAATTTGTTTGCCAATCAATAGTCCGTTGGTTTGTGTTGAGGTCGGCTGTGGTTCCGGTGCTGTCATCACATCAGTGGCCAAGACTTTCGGACCAAACAATTGTTTATATTTGTATGCATTTTGGGCTCATTTTGATAACTCATTGATTGATTGAATGGATGCCTATTATAGAGCCACTGATATCAATGAAAAAGCGTTATTAACGACACGAAAGTGTGGATCAGTTAATGGGGTTAACGGTTGCGTACAATTAGTGAACACTGACTTGACTGAAGCCATTAACCATCGTTTGCATCATTGCATAGATTTACTTATATTCAATCCTCCATATGTGCCGACACCGACACAAGAGGTGAGTTTGGTGTCTATAATTGCAATTTGCGATGAAATTCTTATGCAATTGTCTGATGTGGTTATGGTCTGAAAGGTAGGCGCGGGTGATATAAGCAGTTCGTGGGCCGGAGGTGTCGACGGCCGACAAGTGATCGATCGCTTCCTACCCACTGTGCCATCGCTTCTCACACCCAATGGTTTACTATATCTTATTGTTGTCAAAGAAAATAAGATCTCAGAAATATGTGATGCAATGAAAGCAATGGATTTTGAGATGACTATCGTATTAGAGCGCAAATCAGGTCCCGAACACCTCTCGGCTCTTAGATTTAACAGGTATTGTATGAAACACTTTATGTAAACTTACAGTTATTTATAAACATATTAATTATTGTTAAAAATCATTGCATTTAACTTTAAATTTATTTTTCAGGTTTGGATTTCCATACAATTAGGTTTTAATAAATCAATTTATTTGTAATAATAGTAATAAATTATATTAATTAAAGTAATAGAAGCTATTAATTGGTGACTTGTTTGTCGGCAAACTTCTTAAAGAGTGGATCATTTGTTTTGATGGGAAATAATAGGGAAGACTTCTGGTAATAATCTTTACAAACAGTGATATTATTGATGACGGTATCCAAGAGATGTATTCGCTCCACAAAACCGGTCTCTTCATTGGCCAATGCCGTGAAGTGGATGTGGAAGTGATAGTATGACGGCTGGTAATGGATGTAAATTCTCAGCTGATCTCTGGTCACTCCATACTTCTTCTCAATGGCTTCGCAACCCTTTGTCTGAATATTGTTGAGAAGCGGTAAATGTGTTTCGTTGAGATCTCTTAGGGATCTGATGCCGGCTTTGCGACTAATGGCCACCAAATAGAGAGACTCGACAGCAATGCCGTCCCATTTCATGTCCGGCAATAAAACAAAACCAATCTCCGGGTCCTCGACGTCGCAAACTATTCTCTCGGTCTCTGATTTGTGGTCCAATATATTGTGGACCCATTGGAGTGATAATTGTTGGCTTTGGCTTTCAATGTGTGGTTGTGTCACCTCTTCGTACAGTAGAGACGTTTCCAACACAACAGCAAACTCTTGGCGCAAGTGTTTGTGAATGTGTCGATCAGTGGCCGGATATATGATCGTTGTCTTAATGCCATTCAATTCACTTCTTGGAAACGCCAAATAATTGCCGTAAATATCGTTCTGGAAGTCGAGCCTCAGGTCCGACGACTGGTCCGTGTCTTTGAGTATTTGTTTGACATTGGATTCATTGAATGCCATCTTCTCGAGAATGATCACCGCTTTCTGGTCCACGTGTTTGGCTTCGATGGCAATCCATTTGCTGCCACTTCTCTCGTTCAGCACTCGTGTGAACTCAAACTGATCTAACGTTATGTCACTCATTGTCTTCTTCTCGTGTCCAACACTTTCATCGAGTTTACGCTTTTTGTGATCACTCTTTTGGTCTCCGCTTTCACTCATACTATCAGTGTTTGTGTGAAATGACAAAAGATTGCTTCAAATGAACTGAATTTTCAATGAAAGTGAAAATAAATCAATGATTAGTATTGTATGGAAAAAATTGAAATGTTTTCAAATAACGTGAGTTTTATGTGTATGAGAGGCGTGTCTATCGACTAACTGTCCAATGAATGGCTTAAATCATTGTATGCGGTCATTTGTGACCAAATTCAAAATGATTAAAACACAGCACTTCCAGCGCTTCCAACACATAAGCGATACAAATGTCATGTAATTTTCACAGACATATTTTAATTATGATCCCTTAATTGATTACAACTAGATATTAATACTGTATAAACAAATTGGATTGTATTCACTGCCCCATCATTTGTAAACCTCTGCGGACTACCCGTCCCAACCATACTGTGCTAAATGTGATCATAAAATACATGCATTTGTTGAGCTAATAACGCTCGGGTGGGGACACGCCTGGTCTTAAAGCATATAAAAGTTTGCACATAATTATGCTATTAATATGAAGATTGACTTCAATTTATCAATACTTTTAATAAATCACTTCAAATAAGATTACTTTCGAAAGAAACACAATTTTGAGCCCAAAAATAGCACAAATTTGTGAGTTGTGTCGCAAATATACCACTAGTTTTGTAAATCATCGATAAATGCCATTCAATTACATGACTTTTTGTGACTTTTTTCTCACTTTTTATTCGTGACGCGAGAATGAGATAACACTATATCTGAGACCAAACACAGACTCAATCTTCTATTTGAAAAGAATAATGACTTCTTTTGAAGTGAAGTCAAAGCCATCGATAAAATATTGTTCAAAAAAAGTTGAGTCCAAATGTGAGTCCAATAAGACTTTATACGAATTCTCGCACAATAGTCGACAGTATTTTTTATCTATGAAAAGGTTTTAAACATATTTTGATATCGGATTAGCTTTTATAACAAGTATAATGAAATATGACTGAAAGAGCGGTATATCAATGGCCCGAGTCTTTGACTTTAAGCCATATTTTCATCAAATAACACGAATTCATCACAAATGACACTCAATATTGACATAAACTTATAGCAAATGGAAAAAAATTGTCATCAAATGTATTCAATATAACTCTAATCCCTAATACTTATGATTTAAACAGCAATTCTGTAAACAACTATTTAATAACAGTTTTTACGTAATCTTTATATTAATAAATAATTATTAAGTTAATTAGTCATCAAATGTATTCAATATAACTCTAATCCCTAATACTTATGATTTAAACAGCAATTCTGTAAACAACTATTTAATAACAGTTTTTACGTAATCTTTATATTAATAAATAATTATTAAGTTGATTAAATATTGATAAAGAATTGGTAAAAATTATAAGGCATTGAATTTAATTGAATTAAATGTTATTTTACATTAGATTTGCAATTAAGGAAACGATGTGTAACTTTAAAACCAGGGCTTATATAATGAGATAAAAATGATGAACAAAATTAGTATAATTATTCGTTGTGTTGCACTGAAAACACAGCCAAAGATTTATTACTAAATACTTATATACGTTATTAAAGAATACATTGATTTATACAAGAGTTAGAATAATATATGAATATTTGGCCAAAATATTAAATATGATATTTTTAATGAAAAGCTTCACTTCATATGCATGTGATTGAGTGCCGACGCATATTAATTACATATTAAGATAAGTTTATGGTTAAGAGATGCTAACAAATAGCGCATAATTGCTTTGCTATGCATTAGTATTTTTTGGGGCGGATTTAATAAAACATTACTGTGTTTTCCTATAATTACATCGAAAGCAATATTCATAATGAAATTTTTGGTGAGAAAGAAATATAAATTACAAAACGAAAAAAGATAAAAATATTTATCTCAATAAAGTTATTGCTAAAATTCAGTGATTAAATGGACACCTTATATGGCGAGTGAATGCATAACTTATTAATTGTGAAATAAAACAATGAAACCAAACCATTACATACCGAAAGGCACTCCAAGACATTAATTAAGCGCTGCCTTGAGTTCAGATCATTTGAAATGTATTTGGGATTTGGGTCGCAGACCATCACTACATATAAAGTTATATAACAAAAATTCTTGACACTTATTATCTCTTTCATCACCAAAAAAGACATAATTTAATAATAAAATGTTTTTAATAAATTGATTTTTGTTTTTATTTGCTTATTTGTAGTGCTATATCATTGCATTAATATTATTAAAATCATTAAATTATTACATTTATTGTGTTTTATTATGGATTCCTTTTATGAAACTCATTCAAACTTATGGTTTTTATAGTAATTCACTTTTTATGGAAATAAATGTTAGTACATATGAAAGAAGTTTACAAATAATTTTCTTTAAATAAAACAAATATTATATTTTAGGGCAAAGAAAAGGGAAATTATATTTTATTTATAAGGAATTTAAGAAATAACTATTTATAATAGGAAATAAGAAAGCAAATAGTAATTCCTGTAAAACAAATCATTGTAAATATTGTTATAACTTTACATACAAAGTATATAACCACTACATAATGTTATATTATAACTGTATACTCATTACATGGCAAACAAGTTTACTCACAAAAGCAAAGCATGTAATTAATGAATATTTAATTTGTATTTTTAGATTGTCATCAATTGAATTGATTATCATATGTTAGTGTCATCTGAGAAGGCATTCACTGTGAAACCAGAGGTTAGACTGTATTTTCTATAGCTCTAGCAATGAGTAAATGAGATGATGGAAATTATTGAATAACAATTTCGTGTCTCAGATGGATATTATTGCCGTTGCGATCATTATTCCGATGCAATAATGGTATGACATGTTTGGCTATATATGGACACTAAATCGTGGGTGACTTCTGTTTTTATGACAAAACCTAAGGCTCACACAAACACATCCATTATATGCGATAAACTCAAGTAAAACTTGTTATTATACAAGACTCGCAGCCAAAATAATAAACTTTTTGTGTTAATCTCACGATCATTTCCTATTATATTTCTTATTTTTTGAAAGTAATTGCAAAACAACTTAAAGCATGAATTGTATTAAAAAAATTATATCAATATTTGTAGAAAAGATATGAACAAAGATTTATTTAATTTCTCTCTTTCAGTAATTGATGTGTTTTTGTATACTTTGTGATCGACTCAAACTGTGTTAAGGTTTCAAATATGTTTGGTTGTCATCATTAGAGCCCTCACTCTCTTTCTCCATAGAAGTAAATGTGTTTTTATTGAGCAGTTATGCAAAAATGCATTACAGACTATCATTATTAGACTCTATGCTATTGTATTGGATCATAAGTTCCCTCACAGACGCACACATCCTATGCCTCCCCTCCTATCCCTCTATCCATATCTCTAACTAAACAGCGCTTTATATAAAGAAAAGTAAATCTATTCGTATTTAACAGTAGTTTTGACGGTATGTTGTGTTATGAGTATATGTGGCAAAACCGGTGCCTTTGCCTAACACTACAAACACCCCTCACTTGTGGTGTTTTCCCGTTTCGATGAATCATAACTTGAATTTCTGGCTTTAGTCGAGCGCTCCGGCAGTCATACAGTCTTCCTCTCACTTCATCTCCACATCGCCTGCCGTTTCACTCAATACCCACTCTCTATGTGTTAGTCGACAGTCAATACAGTTTTATACAGTTTTATACAGTTTTATACTTTCTTACGAAACACATTCACATACAGAGCGAGAGATAGGGCAGAGACTTGTGTTTTGTTGAGTTAATCAGTGCATCACTAGTTGTCTCTCATCTCATCCTCACAGAGACGATACACTCATACTGTGTGTCTCTCTCACGAGTCAATGAAAGGCACGTCTCGATTGCACTAATCATATATTGAGTTATATATTGAGTTTCCAAGTGTTTCATATATCCCAACAATTTTGATGAGTTTTCAGAGAATTAGTGACAAGAGTTTTGGCACTGATTTTATAGCATAGAGTTTTTGGGTGCGAATACTGTGATCGTATGGGCGATCATAAAAGAGATTTAATAACATCCATGTCTAGTGCTTATTGCGATTATTGTGATTACCCTTCAATTCATTGATTACAGATGTGTTTGGTTTGTGGTCTGCAATCAATTTCGTGACAATTGACTAAATAGTAAAATGTGTCGTTTGGCCGACTCTTGAGTACAATTCGTGATCCAAACCTGAATTGCAGACAAAAACCGGTGAACTCTTCCCACCGTTTCATTCATCGATATATTCATAAGACGACTCTCTTTTCAATTCAAGCGCTGAATATATTTTTACTTCAATTTATTATAAACTCATATCTTGAAGACATTTCTCGGAAAAGCGAAACACATTATTCACGAATATATTTGACAAAAAAGTAGTTCTCGTATTAATAATAAAAGAAAACTTCACTTATCTGTGGGTCAAGTGATGGCTCTCTCCCAATAAGAAGCGAAACTTTTTTATTCTTGAGTTTAAAATAAATTTCAACATTTTTATGCTTGAAATATGATTTATTCAACGTATCAATAGTTGCGAGTATTGGTAAGTAAAAGCATTTTTGATTTCCAAATCTTACTTTACTTTTATATTATAGAAATTGCTTTTCCTATACTTCTGTATATCATTTTGTATAACATTTTAACAAAACATCTTTTTTCCGTTTGCTCTACATTTCGGTTTTCAAATATTTTTTATGTTTGGATTAAATAACTGTTAATTTAATTGAAACGAAAGCTTTTATTGGATTTAAAACCACTACTGGCCGTCGCTTACAGTACTCTACATTATATTCTGAGTTATGTTTAATTAAATTAAGTGATAATAAATAATACATTAGTTTGTCGTTAGTTTAATACATAATAGCTCTTTGAACACATCTTATTCTTTACGACACTTTGTTGTTGTCTTTTATCTACCATAAAATCTTATTAATATATTCATTAAGGCATTCATATGAAGTTAAATGA